ATTGATCTATGTGTCTGTTTTTGTGCCAGTACCATACTGTCTTGATCGTTACAGGTATGTAATAGAGCTTGAAGTCCAGAATCATGATGTACCCAGTTCTGCTTTTCTTTCTCAGGATTGCTTTGGCTATCTGGGGTCTTTTTTGGTTCCATACAAATTTTGGGATTGCTTATCCTAGCTCTATAAAAAATGCTGGTGGTATTTTGTTAAGGATTGTATTAAAAGTATAAATTGCTTTGGGTAATATAGACATTTTAATAACATTTGCTATTCCAATCCAAGAGCATGGAATGTTTTTCCATTTCTTTAAGTCCTCTTCCATTTGTTTTCTAAGTTGTTGGGGTTTTTTTGTTTTTTGTTTTTTTTAAGATCTGATTTATTTGACAGAGATCACAAGTAGGCAGAGAGAGTGGGGAAACAGGCTCCCTGCCGAGCAGAGAGCCCCGCCCAATGCGGAGCTCCATCCCAGAACCCTGAGATCATGACCTGAGCCAGAGGCAGAGGCTTAACCCACTGAGCCACCCAGGTGCCCCAATTTCCTTAGTATTTTATGATTTTCAGAGTATAGATCTTTTACCTCTTTGGTTAAGTTTATTCCTAGGTATCTTATGGGTTTGGTGCAGTTGTGAATGGGATCGATTCCTCGATTTCAGTTTCTGTGGCTTCATTATTGGTGTCCAGGAATGCAACAGATTTCTGTTCATCGATTTTATATCCTGCAATTTGCTGAATTCATGTATCAGTTCTAGCAATGTTTTGCTGGAGTCTTTTGGGTTTTCTACAGAGTATCATGTCATCTACAAATCTTGAAAGTTTGACTTCTTCCTTGACAATTTGCATGTCCTTAGGCTGATTTTTTTAAAGATTTTATTTATTTATTTGGCAGAGAGAGATCACAAGTAGATGGAGAGGCAGGCAGAGAGAGAGAGAGAGAGGGAAGCAGGCTCCCCGATGAGGAGAAAGCCCAATGCGGGACTTGATCTCATGACCCTAGACAAAGGCAGCGGCTTAACCCACTGAGCCACCCAGGCGCCCCCTTAGGCTGATTTCTTACCTGACTTGTCCTATGGGGCTGCGGAGAACCCAAAAAATCGTGGCCATTTCAAAGTGCCCTTGAGCCTGAATCTTTTTTCTTTATCTTCAACTGATACCCACTTTCTAGAAGGGAAGTTTATGGCCAGGAGAGCCACCATCTGGACTGATCTGCACAAAGGGGCAGTGCCCAGGACAGCCTGGGTATGGAAGGCTGGACTCCAGCCAGACCCATCAATGGCACAACACTAGTCTGTGTTCTAGGTCAAGCAGATTTTCCAAGGACCTCTCTCCGCTGTGGCTCTCAGGGAAAGAGCCTCAGGGCAGTTCTACTGACTGGAGGACACACACAATGTCTGGACATCCCTTTCAGGATTTTGGCTTTGCCCCACCCCTCCCCAAATGACACATTTGTTAAAGGAGACTTTTCAGAAAAAAATAAAAAGATGACTCTCATAAGATTTTTTTTTAAATGAACACATTAAGGATTTTATTGTACTCATATAATAGGAGGGAATGAGGCAGCTGTGACAGCTCATTGGAAGGGAGAAGGAAAGAGCACAAAGGTATGCGGAGTAAAGGCATCACGAAAGGAGAGAAACCTGAGATCGCGAAAGGAGAGAAAACAGATTTTTCCACAGGTGGGAGGAAGCCAAGTGATCCTCCACCAGAGGGGACAGAAGTTACTAACTCACTGGTTACCAGCGACTTACAAAGAGTCGTGGTGGCACCAAGGGGCCAGAATCAGACGACCCAGAGGGTGTGCCACCGATGACAGAGGCTGTCCCCAAAAAACACAAAGTTTCTTTTGTGTGACATTCATCATGAGGTCGCTCATGGTGAGCAAAATGTTTCCTCCTATTGGGGGAAACCCACAGGGCTGGGACAGTGGGTCTGACACAGACGGTGGGAGCCTCATAAAATGTGTCAAGGAGGGCTTTTCTGGAGCACCTGCCTGGCTTGGTCCGTATAGCATGTAACTCTTGATCTCGAGGCTTGAGTTTGAGCCCCATGTCAGGTGCAGAAATTACTTAAAATCTTAAAAATAAATAAATAAACAGAAGAAGAAGGGCTCTTCTGTTTCCTAGCAGGTGGGCATGGCAGCACTCACTGGCCACCTCGAGATCAGATCTGTGGTCTCCACTAGTGAAGCCTCTGGAAGTCAGAACGCTCTTCATGGCACCAAGGATAACCAAGACGCGCCCCTGCAGAGGAGACCCCGACTGGCACCTTTACGAGGCCACACTGGCTAGCAGCGCTAACATCTCACCATCCGCCCATGACCTTCATGCAAGATGCAACAAGACTGTGAATGACCTCAAGGCCCACTCTCCCAAAGTGACTTATAGTCCCTTCACCAAGCTCCTCTGAACTCTCTTCTCAAATAGACCCTGATTTGAGGGTTTCCGATGACGTCTCTGCCACGTTCCATTCCAGTAAGAATCCCTCTAAGTCAGCTTCATAGAATCCCTGACTCTTCAAACCTAATCTGGTTCCTCATCCTCCACTGCCAACACCCACACCCCACCCCTGGGGTGAGGTCTGATCATGCTGGCTTGTCTTCTGCAAGAACCCATTCGGTCAGTTTTCCAGAACTCCCATCCCCTGTGATGCTTCCTTCCTCTTAGCCATTTTCCATCCACTGACCCCCGCTCCACTCTTTGGCTCTAAATTCTCACTTTTCTTTGTTATTTCCGGAGTTGAGCCCAATCTCTCTCCCCCACTGTAAAACCCCACTTTACTGGTCCCTACCCCTATCCCGATGATCCTGAGTAAGGTCCATTCTTTAGCAAATGCCATGAATGAATAATTTGTTCTCCCATACCCTACAGCCCTGCTTCACCAAGGGTAGAAACCAAGGGTTTCTACAATATCACAAGTCAAGACCCACGGGGATCACTGGTGCCTGTCTGATCTGCCAATTCCCAGGGGCTAACAGTCCTGTCCCCTCTCCTAACTGGAACCTTTCTGAGGCATTCCTTTGCCCCATATATATCCATGCTTCCTGACTCCTCTCTTGAACCAGTTATAACACCTGCCTGGTTCCCTTTTTCATGAATGAAATAGAATCTTTAAAAACGTGCTCATTAAAAAAAAAAAAAAATGGGGGCGGGGGGGGGCCTGGGTGGCTCAGTGGGTTAAAGCCTCTGCCTTCGGCTCAGGTCATGATCCCAGCATCCTGGGATCAAGCCCCGCATCGGGCTCTCTGCTAAGCACCTGCTTCCTCCTCTCTCTCTGCCTGCCTCTCTGCCTACTTGTGATCTGTCAAATAAATAAAATCTTTAAAAAAAAAATTTTTTTTAAGTAATCTCTACACCCAACATGGGGCTCGAACTCACAACCCCGAGATCAAGAGTCGCACGCTCTACCAATGGAGGCAGCCGGGTGTCCCAACACGGGCTCATTTTTATATCTGTATGAGAATCAAGATTTTACCTCTCGCTGAAAATTATCTTTTAACAATGCGATGGAACAACATTCCCTTTTTTCTCACTGGAAATCAAAAAGCAAGAAACGGGTGGTAAAGCATGGTCCAGCGAGTCTGGCTTTCCTGCTCTCATACTCTCAAGGATTTCAATAATTCGTAAGTCAGCCTTCTCTATGCAATGACGTTCTCCAACAGAAACAGAGAAAACAGATTTCGACGAGCAAAGGGAACCAGCTGTAACCAGCAACGGTATCAAGGAATAAATCGCTAGAAGCTTCAGAGATTTGGAAACCATCAGCAAGCCAAACACAGGCTAAAAGGTACCAGGAAGGCAGTGGCTGAGAGGGAAGGCTCGGTGTTTTCCCCGTACTGGGTAAACAAAGCAGAAACTTGCCTGGCCACTGATTCCCGATCTTGAAGCTGGGAAGTATCAGCCATCGCCCTACTCATCCGTCTACCCCACAATGATCCTACACACGCCAACTCCAGATATTTATTTGTCAGCAATCCTGCCCGTATTTTCCGGAGGGTACAGGTCTAGCTAGGCAGCATGCATTAGAAAGGCAGACCGATCAGCCTGCTGGCCTGCAAGCATGCCAGTCACGTGGCCGCCTTTGGCCTTCTCTCAAGTTCTCCTGAGGCCTGGAGAGCCCTTCCCCCAGACACCTGCGGGACTCACTTCTGACCACCTTATTTTCAGTGGTCTTTGAAAACAACAGGTTGTATTTGCCCCAGGCACAGCCAGCCCAGTCAAGGGACACGCAGCCCTAGGGTCAAGGGTAAGAATGCTTGCTTAAATTACTATCATAAGGAATATAGATATATTTTGCAGATTCCAAACCTCCTGAGATGGAAAAGACCTCCAGGCCAAAGACAAAGTGGTCACCTGTTACTATGACCTCGTGGGCCTCCAATCAGCAGTGTCCACCTTCTCAGGAGATCCCCTCCCCGAATTCTGCCCCTAAAAGCCCTCATTTGCAAGCCATCGAGGATTCTGGACTTCTGAGCATTGGCTGCCTGCTCTCCCGGGTAGCACCACACCAATAAGCCAGCGGGCTCTCTTCTCTGCAAAAGCTCGGGGTCCATTTTTACCGGCTTGCTGCTTATCTGGTGGGCAGACTCTCCCTGGGTTCGGCTACATTCGATGCAGATGTGCTCATTCTCCCCGCAGACTTATGCTGGTAAGAACCAGACAACCAAAGGTCTAACTGTAGGTCAGTAATTCCAGAGCATTCAGTGGCATGAAAGAAAGGCACCAGATAAATGGAAAAACTTAACACGAGTTTCCGTATGAGTTCAACTACGCTTTTCAACAATGTGGCTAAACCATGCGGGACAACACACCAAGGCGGGCTGGCCAGGGCTGCTTTTCCGCGGTGACAAAGTACAGTACCGCTTTGGTACAAAGTCAGGTTTTGAACAAGGGCTTTGATCGTCTCGTGAGCTGCGCGCACCACGGACTCGCTCTACCTCCTGCAAACGCGCGCGCGAGAGAGCAGCGCGGGCGGCGCGCGTTCCTGGGCCCGCGCAGTGCACGTACCTGTCCGCCGCCCGGAGCCTGCGTTCTCCCCGCGCGGAGACGGCCCGCCGTGCCCGGGGACTGTCGGGGCGGGCGGGGCGGAGGCGCCTCCCGCCGGGACGGAAGTGGACGCGCTGACGGAGGGCGGCGGATCCCTGCGGGCCAGTGCCTGCCCCGGATTCCCAGCCTCCCGCGAAGGCCCGGCGGGAGGGAGGGAGGGAGGAGGAGGGACAGGGGAGGGGAGGCCTGGAGGGCACGGGGCGGGTGGGGGAGGGGAGAAGGCGGGGCGGGGAGGCGGGAGGAGGGCCCGAAGCAGGAAGACGCCCCGCCCTTGAAATTTGCATGAGCGCCGGCCTCCTAGGACCTGGGGCTTCCCGGTGCTAAATCTGGATGAGGCCATTTTTTAAAAATAAATTGTTACATAGTTCCGTATTCATCGTTGTCCCCCACTTCATGCTTTGGTCACCGAAAGTTGTCATAACCAATTCCGTTGGCTGCAAATGTTAAGAAAAGAGGAAGAAACGCGGATGAGGAAAATCTGTGACAGTGGAGAAAAGAGGGGGACAGCTTTCTGAGGCCACGAGAAGTTAATCCCAGGTCTTAGGACCTCAGAGGGAACCTTGTTAATTTAGTTGCTTCTAATCGGAAAATGCGTGAATCCAGACTGAGGATGACTTTTTCCTTCAGGGATCTTTCGTGCAGAGAGAGGTCAAATCTTCAGACAGACCTCGGGAGGAAGGTTTGTGAGGGAGACAGCTGGACTGTTCAAGGGTAATCTTACGGCAAAGGTAGAATCACGATGCTCGCAAACGTGTGAAAATGTCCCGTGTTAAAGATTTTACGCTCCTCATTCATTAATGAGGGATCCAGGCAGTTGTTAGAACGAGTTCAGAGGCGCAGGGGTGGCTCACTCAGTTAAACATGCGGCTCTTGATTTCAGCTCAGGTTGTGATCTCAGGGCTGTAAGATGAAACCCCCCACCAGTTCCAAAAGCCTGGAGCCTGCTTGAGATTCTCTCTCCCTCTGCCCCTCCCCGGGCTCACATGCACTCTCTTTTTCTCAGATAAATAAATAAATAAAATCTTCAAAAAAAAAGATTTTAAAAGAACAGCTCAAAAGAAAAACCCCCCAAAATCACATATTTGCATTTATAAAGAGTAAAAAATTGTTGAAAGTATAGAAGGAGGCAAACTGGCTTTCTTCCAGGGAATGGGAAAGGAGGGTGGGTGACACAGGACAGTCTCAGTGTCTACCATTTACGTGCAATTTACACAATTGTCAGGCGTCTCCAAGACATTGAAAGATGAGAATCAGCCTGGAAGACATCCTCTAGACAAGCCTAGTTTTCCATCAATACACAAAATTGTTTCTATAAGACTGTTTTGAAGCACCTTCCAGCATCTTGGAAGTACCATTGATGTAAAGACTAGATACGACTAATGACATGACATTTTTCTCTATTTGCTAATTTGGCTCCCTAAGCATCATTACAAACTTCTGATTTAATAACACAGTGGTTAACACGCGATAGTTCATAATCTCAAGACTCTATGCCTTGCTGCAGTTTGCCAGCTCAGTGTTAAATTTACTTAAAAAAAAAAAAAAAAGTTGCCTCCCCATCAGTCTCAATTAGCAAAATGTGCTGTAGATTCAAATGTTATGAGGCAGCCCTTTATTACAAAATACGCCTCTGCCACAGTATTCAAAAGCAATTAATTCCTACCATTTTCCCACCTTGTTTCCTAAAAGGATCTAGCAGATCCTTCGTACAGTTTTACTCATCATTTAATTTGTACCTTTCACTAGAACCCAGCTGGACTCCTTCCTGCCCTACCCTTTCCTTCCTGCGGCTTTCCCACCTTGGGGAGAAGGCGGCCCTCTCTTACTATTTATACAAATCATCTTCAGCTTTTAGAATTCTTCTCCATGAAGCTTGCTTGAGTGCTACAACTCTTCTTTTTTTAAAAGATTTTATTTATTTGTTTGAAGGCGAGAGTGAGCAAGAGAGAACACGACCAGGGAGGAGCAGCAGAGGGAGAGGCAGAGGGAGAGGCAGAGGGAGAAGCAGAATTCCCTCCTGAGCGGGGAGCTTGAGGTGGGCTCCGTCCCAGGACCATGAGATCATGATCTGAGCCAAAGGCAGAGCTTAACCCACTTGAGCCACCCCGCCTACAACTCTTTTGCAATTCCCTCATCTACATTCCTAATGAACTATTCCTTTGGCATTTTGTACTATAAACACGGTCACTGGGTAAGTATCATGTTCTCATGGAAGAAAACCTTGTTTACACAAATGTAGTGACCTGAGGTTTCTCAGAGCAGACGCTATGAGTATTCTACTCTTAAAACACCAGAGCTCAATGAAGAATGCTTCCCATTCCTGTCAGTACAGACATGTTCCTTCTCTTTGGATTTGGTTTCCTTAACTATAAAATGAGGGATGACACCAGATATGGTTCTCAAACTTTAGCCTCCAAATCCCCTGGAGGGCTTGGGAAACCAGAGGGCAGGGCCCCAACCAGAGCCTCTGATCCAGAGTGGTCCAGGATGGACCTTGGGAATTTGCCCGTCCAACAAGATTTTGGGTGATGATGCTGACGTTCCTGGTCCAAAGACCACACTCTGAGAACCAAGACCAGAATTAGGGACTAGCGAACCCACTTAACTAATCATCAAAACCACTTGGGAAACTTGCAAAGGAAATTCGGATGTCCTGGGCTCAGACGTCCTGAGCCAGAATCTTCATAATTGACACAGGGAGAATTTGTTATTTCAAAAAAGCTTCCCTGACGACCCTTATAGTGGACAGAATTTAGGACCTGATTCAACTAGATAATCTGTACAAGTCATGTCCCTGTCGACCCTTCCATAGTTTTATATCCTGAGTTCAGCAAGAAAAGCCCAGCTGAAGGACGACAGGTGCAACTCCCAGGCTAGAATATCCCCTGTAGCTCAATCAAACTGGAAACATACCAGAAAAGGGATTTCTGGGGAAAATGGCTGAGTTTAGCCAAGAGGACACACTGCCAGCCCATCTCACCATGGTGGGCACTGTTCCTGTCCTCCCCATTGTTATCTGCTGGCGATACACTTATTTATCATCAAACAGATTCCTTTATATCCCAGTCCGAAATATCCGTAATCAAATTATTTTACTGCCTGGGAATTTCTCCAAAATAATGGGTAGGTGTTTAGGGTTTGTTTGTTTTTCTTCCACATCTGAATAATTATTCAATTATCACCAAGAAGCCACCAAAGTGTTATCACCAAGAACACACTGAGGGGCAGCCTTACACATAAATTCTTGTTTCTATCCTGAAATGCACAAATTTCTCACAACACCCAAGATGGCAGTTTTTCAGATTCCCCAATTTTAGTTCCAAATTGCTCTGGAAAATCCATCACACAAGTTAACATTTAACCCAGGCTCTTAAAAAAGTGTTTAAAGTTACATTCTTACAGAAATACTTGGTGTCAGCGGACACTAGGATTTCACCGAGTTCCTCAATAGGCGGAAGAACTATGACTCAGCAGACACAGCAGGTTATCTTTCCAAAGTTGTTTTAGTTTTCCGTATGAGATGAGGAACCAAAGTCCAGGGACGGAATGAGCCCAAGCTGAATTAACAAACGGGGTAAAGGCAAAGCTCAGGAAGACTGCTGACTCTGCTAAAACCCCATGATTAACACTGACCTTGAAGGCAAGGTCACGAAAAGTATTCCGTGGAACTGTTCCTCCCGAGAAATCTTGGAACACCATCAGAAAAAGTGCTGGTGTGTTTCAGAACATCTCAAAATAATACCTGAGGGAGAACATATTCCAGCTCATCTGTTACCACTTATGGGGCCGCGCTGCTGACTCAGTTCCCACCCCCGACCCCGCAGCCTCCGATGCAGCTGGAGGTAGCCAGCTGGGAGAGCGTCGTGTCTTGTGTGCTAGGCAGGCACTGCCGGTGAAGACAGGTCAGAAAGCTGAGTGGAAAAGAAAGCAACTGGCTTCTAGAGGATTCTTTGGCCAGTCAGCCATCTTGTCACTTTCATCAATCTCTTTTTTTTTTTGTCCAAGTATGTAAGTTACGGACAACATGACATTTGCCCCTCAAAAAAATGTGTGGTAGGGGCACCTGGGTGGCTCAGTGGGTTAAAGCCTCTGCCTTCGGCTCAGGTCATGATCCCAGAGTCCTGGGATCGAGCCCCACATTGGGCTCTCTGCTCAGCAGGGAGCCTGCTTCCCTTCCTCTCTCTCTGCCTGTCTCTCTGCCTACCTGTGATCTCTGTCTGTCAAAGAAATAAATAAATAATCTTTAAAAAAAAAAAAGTGTGGTAGTCAGCCTCCAAGATGACCCATAATGTGCTCCTTCTGGGAATTCACACCCTCGTGCAGGCTCCTCCCACAAATGGCGGGGCAGAGAACACAGAAGCAGTGTGTCTCTTCCGGTTTTGGGTTGTAAAAGATGGCTTCCATCTTGCATTCTCTCTCATGCACTTTCAGATCACTTTCTCTGGGGGAAGTCAGCAGCCATGTCATGAGTAGCGCTGTGGAGAGGCCCATAGAGCAAAGATGGTCCCTGATCAACAGCCACGTGCCTGGACCATTGCAAACATGGGTCCCCCAGCTCCTGTCCAGTTTCAGGTGACCACAACCCCAGCCAGCATCTTGATGGTAACCTCCCGAGAGACCATGCACCAGAGTCAGCTGGCTGAGCCACTCCCGGGCTCCTGACCCTCACACACAGCAGAATAATAATTTCTAGTGTTTCAAGTTGATAAGCTTGAGGCTAAAATGTTACATAGTGGTAAATAGTTAATACATACTTTTTAAAACTATTGCCCCACATTTGTTTTGGGGGCTTCCGTCGTTTTTTGTTCTGTGTACCCGTATCACGTTCTTTAGTTATCATGGTTTTTTGGCGGATACTCAAGTTCTTCTCTCCATCTTCAACATCATCTTGGCTCTTTCTGACCCTTTACTATGCTGTATTAATTCTGGGATCTTAGTGTCAGCTTCCATGAAAAATACCTAACAGGATTTTAATTAACTTTTTCGTTAAAATGGCACTGATATGTTAATAAGTGATTTGCGTGATTCCTGAGTGTTTTCCTGTGTACAGAGCAGACACTTGTCCTGGGTCCAGAGCCTCAGTTGAGCCTCAGTGAAAGGGCCGTTCGGAGGGTAGGTGCCCCCAGAGAAGAGAAACT